TGCAGAGCAGCAAGTTCTTCCATCTCCGGTGGCTTCACCACTTCTGCAGAGCTGTTTTGCAGGTTTTATTCATTGCTGCTTGTTCCCCTTAGTCTGCGCTTCTCCAGCCACAATGAACGGTGGAGATATGTATTACATATGTAAATACATATGTATTATGTAAATGCACCAGTATTTAGGAGGAGATTCAGAAAAGCAGAAGTTTTGGCTGATAAGACCATTTACCACATGAAAAATCCAGGACCTCCAGCTCTTTTGGTACAGGGATGAATTCCTTCCTGCTTGCTTTGCATGTGTCTGTTCAGTGGTTGGTTTTTTTTCCCCAAATATAACACTTATAAGGAGAAGCCCTGCAACTTAAATCCCCTCTTATGCCAAGGAATAATTTTCTCAGAATAGACTTTGTTCTTCTGGCACTTCAAAAGTATTTCTTTCTGAAAGAGTGAAAGTCATGAGTCATTTGAAAGAGCCTGAATGCGTTCTTAAGAATTTGGTGTTCTGGAACAATGTGCTTCAGCCTTTTCTAGCTACTTGTATGCACTGCCAAAAAGAGTAGAAAAGGTTTGGAAAGTATAGGGGTCCTCGTGTTGCATTTTGAACCTGTTGTGTGACTTCACCAATGCAACCCAGTGGCATACTGCACCACTGCAGAGCTGGAGCAGTGCAGTAGCTGGTATGAATTCTGTGCTAAAACTTAACATAAGTTGACATTTTGTTAAATGCATTTATTTATATCCTTTTGCATCTTTGTAATGTAACCTCCAGAAAACCCAAGCTAGACAAATCCTGTTTAGCAGTTTGATGTCTGATTTTAGCAGATGGGCCAAACAGAATCAGACTGTAGATCTCTGTGTTTGTTTGTACTCAATCTCCTGATCATGTAGTTAGTTATCTATGCATTTTTACACTCGAAAAAAGTAAGTAGAAAACATTCCAGATCTCTTGTACAATCTACAATGTGGGGCAACCTATGAAGAGCTAAGTAGGCAACCTTCCACTGCCCCTGATGTTACTGGCATCCTTTAAGACAGAAAATAGCAGCTGAGACAGCATTCAGGCTGGGATTGTGTAAAGGTAAAAAGAAGATTTTTATCCCAAAAAGGACCCTGGGGCAAATTAATGGGACATGTAATGAGAGGGTCATTTTATATCTCAGTGTTAAAATATTTCATACATACTCTCAATTTTCAGTTGGAATAAACAAGTTAATCTGTAATTTCTTTTTAAAATATATACAGAAATCACTTCTGAAGTGATGTCTGATGCAGAGTTCACTGAGTGTTTCAAGATTCTTGGAGAGGCAATGTAAGTGAAGCATTCATTTCAGTGAGACTCATGTCATAGAAACTTTCTTGTTGAGTAATTATCATTCACTTTGCAGATTTGGAAAAGCTTGTGGTGTCACTGGTTCAACTGAGTCAATTAAAATGAAATCTTAAGAAATGTCAGGTTTCTCTTTTTTCTGAGATGGGGGAATAACCCTTCATGTGTTCATGATTTCTGCAAAAAACCACCTTTTCTTGCAGAGTATTTATTATGAAGTACTTTACACCATTTTCAGTGTCTCAGAGTGTTGATGGCTTTTACACTTTCTAGCTCCCCTCACCTCTTCATCACTCGGAAAAATCACTAATTAATGCTAAGGGAACGAACGCCTCGGTCTCTGTGCTGTTTGAGCAGTGGCTGCTGTCCTTTTCCATGGACAGCCCAAGTTCCTCCAGCAGCGGAAAGCCCAGCGCAGGATGTTTGAGAAGGCAAGCACTGGAAAAGGTCTTGTAAAATATTTGAAACTAATGGCTGGTACTCACACCCCCCCACACAGACATTCCATCTGAGGGTACCGCAGTTTCTGTCCTCTGGTGAGGGCCGTGCGGGCAGGCACAGCGAGGGGAAGGAGCTGAGATGCTGGACGCGCACTGAGGCGCAGAGCTGACACGTTCATCCTTCTCATGGTTCTGTCCTTCCCCCAAGGACTTTTGCCAAAGAGGCTTTCCCAGCTTTTAAACGTAAACGCCAAAATCACAAACGGGGCCCTGGCCATGGGTACGTGAAGTCCGTAAGGAAAAAAAGGCACAAGGATGCAGCGGGCGGCTGCGGGGCAGCGCTCCCTCCGGAGGGGCTCGGGGGACGCCCTGCGTGCCGGGCGGGCGGCCGGGATCAGCCAGATCCCGCTCCCCTCCGCTCCCCTCCGCTCTCCCCGGCTCTCCCCCGCTCTCCCCGGCTCTCCCCCGCTCCCCTCCGCTCTCCCCGG